AAGTTCCAAGTTTTTGCACTTAGCCTTCAAAATCACACATTCTTTAGACATCTGTTCCTTTTCATTGTTTACATCTTCAGATTCATCAATTAGTTCTATAAGTAACTCAGACAACCTTTCTTTAGACAATAACTTAATTTTGTCTTTGAGATGAATTACACTTACCTCAGTTTCTTCATCATATTCTCCAATGGCCATAAGTGCTTGTTTATCCCCATCATCGTCATCTACGCTTTCATCTGAGCTTTCTCCCCAAGCAGCGACCATAGCCTTGGTTGATCCTTTGTTGTTGCTTTTCTTGGGTTGAACCTATTCCTTCTTCCCGTTCCTTCGTTCAACTCTTTTCTTCTTCCACTCAATTTCCCATTGGGGACAATTTTTGATGTGGTGATCAGTCTTTCCATATTTGTAACATCCATCATTGGTTTGCCTCTCAGGAACTTTTGATTTACTATAGCTTCCACTTCTTGAAGGACCCTTTTATCTCTTCAAGTACTTCTTGAAATCCTTGGTGATCATAGCCACTTTATCATCTTCTAGATCAGAACCTTCAGTGATTCTAAGTGCCAGGCTCCTTTCCTTCTTAGGTACATCCATTTTCATGGTTTGTCTCCTAAGTTCATAAGCAGTGAGATTTTCAATTAACTCATCCAATGGGAGAGTGTCTATGTACTTTGATTCCTGAATGGCAGTGATTTTTCTCTCCCAAGTAATAGCCAGAACCCTTATCAAAATCTTCTCAACTCTATCTTCTTCAGGAATACTCTTTCCAAGAGACTTTAGTTCATTTGTCAATGTAATAAACCTTGTGTACATCTCTTGAATAGTTTCTCCTTCTTTCATTGTAAAGTTCTCATATTGAGAATACAGTAGAGTTTCTCTGGACCTCTTCACTTGAGGTGTTCCTTCATGGGCCACTTGTAAATTGTCCCAGATTTTCTTAGCAGTGGTTCAGCTTTAGATTCTACTGTACTCATTTGGACCGAGTCCACAAACAAGCCATTTCTTGGCTTTAGCATTCTTCTCCCATTTCCTCAAGTCATCAGTAGTGCAGTCAACTCTTGTCTTTGGCACCTCTTCTCCTTCGAAATTTATCTTCATGATAGCCAGTGGGCCATCTGTGATAATGTCCCATAGCTCATAGTCTTCTCCTATGATGTGATCTCTCATCCTATTTTTCCACCAAAAGTAATACTGGCCGTTGAAGAGTGGTGGCCTAGCAGTGGATTGCCCTTCCCAGTTTTCAGGTGGTGCACTCATTTTGATCATAACCTAAGGTGTTAGCCTCTTCAAGGATAACCTGCTCTGATATCAATTGAAGTTTTATACGTCAATGCCATACAAGAGGGGGGGAGGGTGGTGTGATTTGTGTGGTGTTTGATTTTTGCATGTACTGACTACTGAAGGACCTGGTTCTTCTAAGTGTTCCTTAACCTACTGTTGCTGAAATAGTAAATGCGGAAAGTAAAGAACATAAGTATTTTTACGTGGAAAACACCTGGCTCAAAAGGTGAAAAAACCACGACCTACTACTCAGTAGGATTTTTTCCAACACTTCACTAAATCAATGAGCCAAAACAGCATTTACAAAACTCTTTGCAAACCTAAGGATTAATTCTAATCCCGTTGTGGCAACCATCCTCTAACTGTTGCGACAACTTCAAGTTAACTCTAACTTGAATACTCAGAGTACCAATTACAATTTCCTCTAGATAAAGCTGAAAAGTACAAATTGAAAACCACCTACTACAATTGAACTAGGATAAAAGAAAGGCACTTGGAACTGGTTCTTCTATCTGGTTCATGTAGCTTCAGGTTCGCACACTTGAATCACATAAGAATTGTTTGCAAAATGCCTTGCTATTTTGCTCTCAACTCACGTTTAACTTTTGTTTTTGTGCGTCCCTGTAAAATGAGAACATCCTGCAATATATAGAGTTAGTAGATGAAGAAATAACTAGAGTTCTAATGCTACTCTTCCTTGGTGGAAGAGTTCTAGTTGATATCAACTTCTAACTCCTCCCTTATCTTGGATAGTGTTCTCTTTGAATAAGGAGTCCTTCTCCTTATCAATGATGCAACCTTTTCAATCAAGAAATATCTGATATAACAAGTTAAGCTTATCTCTTTCACTTGCATTCCTCATGCTCGAATCGGCCCGTGTTTGTATACACAGGGGATGACCTGGTTCATGGTTGAGCTTCCTTTGTCAATCTTCAAAACAAAACTTCACTTGGGCCAACAATCTGGTCTGGAGATTTGAAGGTAAAGTATGAAGGTTTGAAGACAAGAGATGAAGATATAAAGATGTGGAGAACAATTTATGAAGATTTGAAAGATGGATGAACAAATAGAAAATTCGAGGGCAACTCAAGAAGATTCGAAATCGGAAAGTAAAAAAGTGAAAAAAGAAAGTCGGATCTTTTATAGGAAAGAAATAATGAATGCATGACGTTTTGCATTCGATAACTACCGGGGATGATCAACCGGCGGCTGACATGTGTCCGAAGTCAGAGAGACGTGACTTATGAGAAGTTCCAGCTCATCAACTTTCTTATGGCATACGAAGGAAGGAACCGGTATCAATTAGTCACTTCTCGTTCCTATATATCTACCCTCCGAGAAGTGAGGGGACTATCTGTGTACGGGTAAAATCGGGAATAATATTACCCCCAATTTTTCGATGAAGAAACGAGAGACAACATGGTTCGGCGTAGGCTCAGGTAAAACTGAGGGCTCCCACAGATCAGAGCTCGGTGGGGACGAATGGCGCACCAAAAATCGGACATGGCCAAACATAGGAAGAATCGATCTCAAGCAAAACAATGAATCGAGGCTAAATGGAGGACGGTTAGAGATGACGAACGAGGGGCCGAAATATCTGCCATCAACCGGATATTACGGCGCGAATCTCGCCCGATATCAACTGCGGATCATGTTTTAGTAGAAGAGAGGGATTTTTACCTTATTTAGACTTGTACTAGGATTAAAACCCTCTTACTATATAAATGAGAGAATCTTTTCATTTTAAAGCCACTGTTGGCACAAATATCAAAGCAATACAGTTTATTTTTGTCTTCTAGCTATTATTCAAAGTGTTCTTTAGCTGTTCATTTCTTTAGTTGCAACCGAGCCCACGAGGGCTCGTTCGGAACTAGTTTCAGCATTCAAACTTAAATCCAGGATTAATCGTTCCATCATATTTGGTTTGATCGTCTTGTTTTTCTTTAATTTAATTATTTGTTGTTCTTAGATCATTCGTGTTAAATTAAATCACGTATCCTTTAAATCGCGTACAAATTCAATTGTTACTAGTTTCAGGGATAAGTGGGTCTTTGGCATTCCCATGAGATTTCCACAACAGCACAACGACTTTATTAGGCTACCCATAAACTATATAAATCATATCCATGAGTATAGTAAGAGTGATTACTTCAAGATAGCCCTAATATCAAAACCCCGTCTTTTGGGATGAGATTTGGGAAAGATGAAAAAACTAGTAAAAAGAAATTGATGTTAAAACAACGTAGATATTAATACTGGAAAAAACATAGTTTTCGGCCAAAATGGCTTACCTTAGTGAGTGAAAGAAGCTGATTGTGATCCGAAATCGCTCTCTTGCTCGAGAATGTAGGAAATGATCAAAATGGCAAAAAATTGCGAAGTCGTCTTTTTATAATGATTAACATGCTTTTCCAATTTCCATATATTAATTCTTCGTAGTTTTTAATTGCCAAGTTATATCACTCGTACTACTTTCTTAGTTTTGCATTACCTTATTTACCTTAAATGAATCTTTTGGACTATTTGTTTACCCATCAAACGGTACAACTGAATTTATACGTGATTTATAGACAAACGAATCGATTTGATCCCAAAATGATAAATAAATTAAATAAGAATGTAAGACTTAGCATTAAAATCAAGATACGATAGTAGAGAGCTTGGTTCCGGGAGCAAAGCTTCCGAAAGCAGCAATAACGATATTAAGAAGCAAGGAAATAAATGTTATTGAGCTTTGAACAGTATATAGCATAAGCTTGTCAGAAAATCCGTCCCCTTACAATGGTTGTTGGAATCCTTATTTATAATGGCACATAGGGAACAAGGTCCTAGGATCAAGCCCCCTCTTAAATGATAATTATGGAGGCTATTGAAGAATGTGTAACGGCATGCTATGAATGCCATAATCTCTATAACGGATTATGTATTTAATACTACATAATACTCTTCATTGAATGCTATCGGGTGACAGGTATTCGTCTGTCTTATGAACAACATTCCCTTCGGGGACTTCCCGGTGCCAGTCAAGACTACTGCCCCCGGTTTTGACTTTCACCTGTCTCGCTTTTCATCTGTCTTTGGTTCCACGTGTCACTCTATTATACGCGCATTTAATATGAACCAATTTTACCCTATACAGTATCTAGCACTTATTTAGTATGTGTGTGTGAGAGAGAACATTACTTGATAATAACCAGAAAAACTAGTGGTGATCGCAGACACATGCGAGGGTGGTTTCACAACAGTAGAAGAAAATGTTTTCCATCTAAAATGATTCGTAGAAAATGTTTACCGTGGGGAATAATGTTCTGACTTCTGAATTATTGTCATGTGTTTGATTGAGTAAAAATTAATTAAGTGATATACAATAACAATATATACTAGGTGAATAAAATAATATTTTGTGCTATTTTTAAATGTTAAATGTTGAAAAACAATCTCTAAGTACTAGTTGGAAGCATCTTTTTTGGGCACATACTAGTTGGCAGCACCTTCCTGCCAAATTTGAAGTTTGTCTTGTATACAAAAAAATGATGAGAGGCACGTAGTAGTTGTTCTTGCATAAAAAAGTCCCAAAGAAAATTGCGTAAATAAAAAAGAGAGACGTGGCATAGAGAGATATATATAGATATGTTATGTGCATTCAGACCAATAATCTTAGAGATTTTAAAGGCGATAGTTAAGATTCCTAATCTGGGCTGACCGTTTCCCCCCTCATCTTTCATTCCTCTCACCACGTCTTTGTCAACTTAGTCATATTATTATTCTGTATTATATTGTAGTATCACATAAATAGACATGGATTCTGACTTTCTTCTCTCTCCTCATTCCCACCATTTTCTCTCCAAATGGCCTTCAAAACTAATAACAATAATAATGTGGTGATTATGATGCAATGATAATTATCTTAAAGACGAGGATAGAAAAACACATTCCCTTAGTGCATGCAGTTACGTTGAATCAATCAATAGATGTTCACCAGAGAACGCGCGCACTAGTCTGCAGATTGGAATTAGTTTTCCCTGTTGATTGATTAAAATCCTATAATCAACCTATTGGCGATCCGCTGGGATTAATGAAGAAATGAAATGAATGTACATATGTTTGTAGAGGGGCAATATTATTATCTTCCAATCATCCGGTTTGTCCTCCTTTCTTTCCTTCTTGTATTCTCTTTTTCATGTTCTATTTGCATATATACCGCTAACATTGATGAATTTGATTACTTAATTTCTGCTATGGCAGGTTCTTTCTTTAATTGAATCTTACCAATGTCATCAAAGCCCAAATCTGGAGAGCTATCAGAGGTCAATAGTTTTATGTGCTAATTATTTAATTTATCTGACAATTGTAGTTTATCCTGTTGGACAATGCTTCTATCTAATCATATTTGATAATAACTACTCTCTCTTTCTAATTTTGTCTCATCAGTTTTCTGTTTCATAGCCAGGAGATTCAGTTGTTTGTATCATCCATATCGGATAATATTATAGGTGAAGTGGGAAAATACTCAGGCTATTTCTATCTACAAACTAGGCAAGGAATCTGACAAGAACATTAAAGGAAAATCTATTACAACTTCTCTAATACATCAATATTCGCAAGACTTTCAAATTTTATTTTCAGAAATTTCATGATTCAATGTTTGTCTGCAGCTTTCATGCTACTAAAATCTCATTGTGTAATAGTAATAGTATTAAATTCCACGAGTACTTCGGCCAGAATACTATAATGATCATGAAGTAGGTACTACATTACTCCTGCTTGCCAATTGTTGCTTGTACCATGTTATTAATTATTTGTTCACTACTTACGTTTCAAGGATATCCTCAATTGGTGCAGATGAACAATATGACATTAGAAGCTGCAAGTCAGTCCAGAAAGAGTGACGAAACTGCCAATGCCTGCATTTCCACTTCTACCATTCCATATAACCAAAACACATCAGAGAAATTACTAAAAAATAGTGCAAACTCTGGTCCTGAATTGCAGCATCAACTGCTTTTTAGTACAGATCAGAGTTCCAAAAACAATGCTAGTCTAACCGATAACGTCCAGCCATGTGAATCCAGAAATGTTGAAGCTATTAATAATATTTTTACAACTAATCCCTACCACTTGCCTAGCCCAAAGACAGTCATGAAGACAAGTACACGTAGCGATAGCTTAGAGAGTTCCAGTAGTGCACCTCTCAAGCCCCACACTGGTGGTGATGTTCGATGGGATGCCATTAACTCTGTTTCTTCAAGAGGATCATCTCCCCTTGGCCTTAGCAATTTCCGATTGTTGAAGCGCCTAGGCTATGGGGATATTGGAAGTGTTTACCTTGTGGAACTCCTAGGAACGAACACTTACTTTGCCATGAAAGTCATGGATAAAGGATCTCTAGCAAGTAGAAATAAATTGCTTAGAGCTCAAACAGAAAAGGAGATTCTTGGTCTTCTTGATCACCCATTCTTGCCCACCTTGTATTCCTACTTTGATACTGACAAGTTCTATTGCATAGTCATGGAGTTTTGCAGTGGTGGTAACCTTCACTCCCTCCGCCAAAAGCAGCCCAATAAGCATTTTACTGAGGAAGCTGCTAGGTATGTTGATTAGTTATGCTATTCTCATGTTAAATGAATTAGCCTGTTCTCATGTCATGTTACTCTATATTTTAGCACCATCGCCCTCCACGGTTGTTTTTTGCAAATGCATCTTAGTTTAAGCCTGTTCTTATGTCGTATCACTCAAATCAGTTGGTAATGGCTTGCACCCCCACAGGTCTAGGCCACCATTCCGAGTCACATGATCCTCTCATATCAATTATTATAGACTGATCAGGACAGCCCAATCCGAAAGACTAGTCTATTAGGTGCGTTGCTCTTATATTCTTATTACCAATAGTCTTTCCAACCAATGAGGAAACTCAATTGGTTCTCAACATGATCAGTTTGATAAGAGAACCTTTGTCTTTGATCGTTATAATCTTTGCCCAAAAAAGTCTGTTCAAGCAATTAAATGCGAGTAATAACATTACGTGAGAGAAAAACAATTGTGAAACTTATGGTTCTACTTGCTACTTTGTGAAGAAGTTAAGTTTGTTACTGATGAAATTCTATTAATATTATGAACTTGAAGCGATAAATTATACCCAATCTATCTTATCAGTTTTTCACATTCTAATGATAGCTTCTCCAGTACTTGAAAGACCAGTAAAGAAATATATCATAATTCACTAACTCAATATAGTCTAGAATTAATACATCCAAACATTCTTATGTCTTGATCTAAGGGCATTAATGATTTTTTGATTGAAGTATCCTATAAGTGGCATTTAGGGTTGGTATATGTTAAAATCACTTTCTGAAAAACCAATTGACTGAGATTAATAATTAAATTTTGCAGGTTTTATGCATCAGAGGTGTTGTTGGCACTTGAATATCTGCATATGCTAGGAATTGTATACAGAGATCTAAAGCCAGAAAATGTACTAGTGAGAGCTGAGGGTCATATTATGCTGTCTGATTTTGACCTGTCACTCCGTTGCTCCGTCAATCCAACTCTTGTGAAGTCGTCATCTGTATATGCAGGAGGGAATTATGGCAGTAATACAAATCCTAAAAGCGGCGGAGGAGGAGGCATCTTAGATGATGAGAATGCAGTGCAGGGTTGTATGCAGCCATCAAATTTTCTCCCTCGCATTCTTCCTAACAAGAAGAATCGCAAGTCTAAATCAGATTTTGGGCTGTTTGTGGGAGGATCACTCCCTGAACTAATGGCAGAGCCAACTAATGTGCGCTCAATGTCATTTGTGGGCACTCATGAATACTTAGCCCCAGAAATAATCCGCGGTGAGGGTCATGGTAGTGCAGTAGATTGGTGGACTTTTGGTATATTCTTGTACGAACTTTTGCATGGGACAACTCCTTTTAAAGGTTCTGGAAATCGCGCCACGCTTTTTAATGTAGTAGGCCAACCACTAAGATTTCCAGATGCTCCGCAAGTGAGTTCCATGGCTCAAGATCTTATAAGAGGGCTCCTCGTCAAGGAGCCACACAAGAGAATCGCGTATAAGAGGGGCGCCACTGAGATAAAACAGCACCCCTTTTTCGAGGGTGTGAATTGGGCTTTGGTGAGAAGTGCTGTTCCTCCTTATGTACCTGAGCCTGTCGACTTTTCCCAATATGCCAGTAAAGAAGCAACAGCTCATCCAGACAACAAGTTTGCTGCTGAAATTGCTAGTCATGACAAAAACAAGAGTTGTTCTACTGATTCTTCATACATTAACATTGACTACTTCTAGGATATTTGGAAATTAAGTCGTACAGAGAATGCAAAGCATCTTTTAATTAGGTGAAGAAAAATTAGTGGGGTGCGGCGGATGTCTAATAAGGATTTAATGTTACTAGGGTGTATAGGAAGAGTTCAATGCTGCATTCTTTCGGTAGCAACTGTCTCATGGGGATCTATAAAACGTACAATACTGATTAGATATTCTAACTATTATCCAAGAATTTGCTTACAATGGCGATTAAAGCAATCTCTATTATGCTTACAATACAAGGTAGAGACAATTTTTGAAGTATATTTCAAGTGGCCTACTATATACGCAAAAAGGGTCAGAAATATCCCTTACTATTGAATATTGTTTAAAACTACACTCCCTCGTACTAATCGAGCAAAAATACCCCTCTCGTCTTACTATTGAACAAAAATACCCCCATTTTAACGGAAGTGCCACGTGGCAGCAATCTCATACAATTAGTCTATCCGGGTTCTTTTATAATCTTACCCGACCCAATACCCTCAAACCCACCTAAAAAGATGACCCGATTAATACATGTCCAGCAAATAAGTCTACTTTTTTTTCTTTTTCTTTTGTCTCTTTTGTTCATCTTTCTTTTCCATTCACCTCCGCCTATGCACCACCAGCGATGAAGTCATAACTGCCATTGCACACTTTCTACACATATGTGTTTAACAAAATCAAAACTCAATTCTTCTAAATCAAATAAAAAAGGAAACATCTTCTCAAATCTAAATGGTATCCATATCTATTTGGCTACCACCAATCTGTACTGATCCACTTTCTCCATTATCCAATATAGTTTGACTTAGGTTCTCAGACATCATAGTCATATGTCCTAACAAAGAATTTTGAGCAAAATTAAATCACTAATTGATTCACTTAGTGGCAAAATTTGGCCGAGAATGGGCGGAACCTCTATGGCCGCCGATGTCAAGCTTGCCGGATTTATTTTTTCAGATTCGTGGAACTTGGGACAGTAAAATGATCGGAGTTCCTGTTCACCACCAACAAGGTTCGGAGCATTTTTGAAGGACTTTCCAAAGTTGAAACGAACCGAAATCTGAGATGTCAGTATATCCAAGCAAGAGGAAGAGATCTCTCGGTTCACATCTTCATTTCGAGCACTTTTTACTCCCGATTCGTTGGTTGCCGGAGGCGATTTAGAAGAATGGTGGATGTTCGAGTTAGGAGTAAATGGGTTTAGTAGCCGGCTGCTATTCTAGTACTAACATGTGTTGTGTTTGTTGTCTGTAAGGGTTTGCTGCCGGAATAATGGCTTTGGTTGCCGGTGATTTTTGACATTAAAAGTGAAGTTCACCATTTTTTATCTTTTGATTTTGGTGTTGTTTAGCCACGTGTTATTTTTATGGTACTAATTATATACTTAGAGACTAATGAATTCATAAAAGATAGATGACTCTTTTTTGAGGTGGGTTTGACGGTATTGGGTTGAATAAGTTTACAAAAGAACCTGGATGGACTAATTGTATCAGATTACTGCTACGTGGCAGCTCCGTTAAAACGGGGATATTTTTGTTCAATAGTAAGACGGGAGTGATATTTTTGCTCGATTAGTATGACAGAGGGTAGTTTTAAACAATATTCAATAGTAGAGGGATATTTCTGACCCTTTTCCGTACTATATATTAGGATTGCTTTTGATGAACTAGATGTATAGTGTGGAGCATGTACCTACTAATTACGGGAACTACAGTGTGTTCATTCTGCAATGTATAGTTGTTCAAAATCGAACTAGGGTTGGATTATTCAATTTTCTTATTGGATAAACCATAAACCCGTTAAAAATTATTATTTTACACCTTTACCCCTATGTATATAAAGTACTACTTGAAATCCGAAATCCCTAATTTGTCAATTCAACACCCACAACAGTCCGCTCTTCAAAGTTCAAACATGGATTTAGTCAGACATGGATTGCATGTCACATGGATTTTTCTACGAGAAGGAGATTTGTTTATACATTAGTTAACTAATTTGTTTTCCTCGTAAAATATATTTTTTCTTTCAAATGAGTTGTCATTTTTTTTTATCCATACCACATACTTATTTACTCTCCATTGTACTGGATATTGCATGTCACATGGATTAGAAAATATTATATAAATAAATTTGGACCTAAAATTTCCCTCATCTCTAGTTCTCTACTTTTTTTGTTGTCTATTTGATTTGACCCGATAAACCGCGCCGATAATCGCTAATCCGATATCAATCGGTCCGATATCTTATTGGGTGGCTAGCGGATTACTATATTTAAAATCGATAACCAATAAGCCGAACCGTTAAGCATCAATATCCGCCCGATAAGCATCAGTACATTGACATTGTTACCTTTGTTTTCTGTTGTGAATACTTGTGAATGTACATCTGATGCATAATTCCCCTCTCTACCTATTTACTACTCATACACTAATAAAACATAATATTTTAATTTTTTGCCATTGACTATGTATAAAGTATTTTAAAAATATTATAAAATAATATCTACACAATCATATTATTTAAAAGGAAACTGCATGAAAGTATTTACAATACACATAATTATATACTAGAGGAGCGATGCACGGGCCCAACATATTAGGTATTTAATGTTTTCCTCAATTGCGGTGGTGATAGTAAACAAATTGTCCTGTATTGAAATCAAAATCGATAACTATAATTGAGAGATTTGTTTTTCTATAAAACATAATTATAATATGGCTTTTGTCTTTTACAACATGAGCATAAAAGGACATAAGAATGATGCCCTTTCAACAATAAATTCATGAGTGTCAGTTGCTGCATCTTTTTCGGCTTGCTTTCAAGTGGCATGCAGAAGCTTTGATTTCCTCCAAATACTCCTCAAGATGTGAACCACAAATCTTGAAAATTTATGCATTTGCTCCGCATAACATTTGTTTCAACTCTTAGTTTATAAATGCATGACGAAACAAGTGCTAATTCGTTATGAAATGAACAAGTAATTTCACAATTTGCAATTGACAAATGATTAGGGCAGTACGTTTGTTCTTCCAAGGGTGATAGGCTTTCCAGCAGATAATTTAGCAAGAATGCGGCCAGCACTTTATATATTAATTGCTACTGCATATCCTTTTGCACCAAACAAAAGCTCAGGAACCCTTACACCATAGAGTTACAACACATTATGTTAATGACTGCTTTTGGCTGGGCTAGCTGAAAAGACATTGCCAGACCAAAATCTCTAATAGTTAGGACACTATTATCACCAATTAGAAGATTTAAATCCAAAATGTCTCGATGAAGTACACCTGTTGAGCTGAATATGTAATTATGTTTTGATAATTAACAAACCATAGCAGAGAATCATATTTCATGCTTTGGGTTGATGTGCTACTAGACTAGTATGCAGATAAGAGATACTAATGCCAAGTGAACCAGGTTTGTAGCAGACAAATGAAAAGAGGAGGTTGAAGAGTTGTAAACAAATAAATAAACCAAATCAAAATAAGAGATATTTTCCTTTACCAAAATATTCTACATTTTAGAGCATTAATTGAGGAAGATTTTCGGGCAATGTTGCAACTATAAAAGGAGACTCTTTGCTGTAATTCATGGCTAATGCTATTGAGAGATATCACACAAAGTTACTTTTGACAATATCAAGCACAACAAAAAGGATACCTCTGGAGACTCGAGCTAATCGATTGAAGAACCGGTCCTTGAAGATGAAGCTGCTCAATTTTTTTTAGTTATTAGGTTGAGTCAAATATTCTAAACTGTATCCTATTTGCTTTTTGAGAAGTGTGATAGTAGGTTAGTGTTGAAACTTTGGTTGTTGTAAGCTTCCTAGACTAGAGTTTAGTTTGGGAGGCGGTTGCTACAATTGAGTTGATTGTAAGGTTTAGGGTACTTGAGTTAGTCTCCTTGATTATAGAGTTGTAATCTAAAAACTGCTCTTTGAAGTTTGGTGAAGTTTTGATGAAAATCCTACTGGGTAGGTCGTGATTTTTTACTCATTTGAATAAGGAGGCTTTCCATGTAAAAATCTCCGTGTTGGTTAAATTTCTGCAGTTATTTTTGTTTGTGTCTGTCTGTGTAGTTCAAAGAACCAGGTTCTTTGAAATTGTGAAAATCGGGTAAGATACAATTCAACTCACCTTCTTGTGTCTAGGTGTATCCCAAAATAAAAATTAGTATTAGAGTAGGTTCTTTCATAAGAGGCTAACACCTTGAAAGAATCTACTATGGCTGCACCACCGGATGCTCAAGAAGGACAATCAACCGTGAGACCACCACTATTTAATGAAAAATACTATGATTGGTGGAAAGAGAGAATGCATGATTTCATGGAAGGAGAAGACCTAGAGGTTTGGGACATAGTTGAAAAGGGACCAAAGATTCCCTTGATGGTGGATGACAAAGGTGTCATTGTAGGACCAAATCCCAGAGATAAATATTCTGAAGAAGATATCAAGCGAGTTCAGAAGAATACTAAAGCCAAGAAGATTTTGATATGTGGTATTGGTCCATATGCATACAATAGGATTTTAGCATGCAGAGATGCAAAGTCCATATGGGATGCCTTGCAGTGTGCTCATGAGGGTACATCTCAAGTGAAACAGTCAAATATTGACATGCTAACTAGGCAATATGAACTGTTTAAGATGAAAGAGGGAAAACCTATTCTGGAGATGCATACAAGGCTTACATCTTTTATCAATGAATTGATATCTCTTGCAGAAGTTATCCCTCGTAACAAAATTATGAGAAAAATACTGAGCATACTGCCTTCGTCATGGGATAGTAAGGTCAATGCAATCACTCAAGCAAGAATTATTAATACAATGGCTCTTGATGATTTTATTGGTAATCTGATTCTCAAATCCACTCAGAAGCAAGACATTGAAGAAGATGACATGGCACTTCTCACTAGACTTTTCCAACAGGCAATAAAGAAAGGTAGATTTTAGAAAAAAGGTAGTTCATCCAAGACCAAAGCCATAGAAAAAAACAACACTATGGATGTTACACGTGTGGAAAGAAGGAATACTTCGTCAAAGAATGTCCACTATGGGAAACATAGTGGAAGAAGAACAAACTTGGTAATGCTAAACAACAAAAAAGGGACCAGGTTCCTGGACGCAGAATGACAAATAAGGATATGGACAAAATTATGAAAAAAACTATGGTGGCTATACAATCATATTCAACTGATG